GCTTCTAGAGAACCTATGTTCTAAACTATATCATTTATGTAGCTCTTCAATTTACTTCTTTGTAAACCTAGCTATCTTTTAAAAGAGTTCCCTTGTTTCTCCAAGGCTGTCCAAGGCTCAAACCTTGTTCTCCAAGATTTTAAGCTCTTTAAAAACAAGTCTTTCATTCAGGCCGCTAACAGACACATGAGGAAATGCTCACGATCATTAGCCATTAGAGAAATGCCAACCGAAACTACAGTGAGATACCGTCTCACCCCAAGAAGGCTAGCATTAATCCAAAAAACACAAAATAAAAAATGGTGGAGAGATTGTGGAGAGACTGGAACACTTATACACTGTTGGCGGGAATGTAAAATGGTACAACCACTTTGGAAATTGATTTGGCGCTTCCTTTAAAAGCTAGAAATAGAAAGTACCATACGATCCAGCAATCCCACTCCTTGGAATATATCCTAGAGAAATAAGAGCCGTCACACGAATAGATATATGCTCACCGAAGTTCACTGCAGCACTGTTCACGATAGCAAAAAGACGGAAGCAACCTAGGTGCCCATCAATGGGCAAATGGATAAATTAGGGTATATTCACACAATGGAATACTATGCAACGATAAAGAACGATGAATCCATGAAACGTCTTATAACGTGGAGAAAGCTGGAGGTCATTATGCTGAGTGAATTTAGTCAGTCACAAAAAGACAAATATTGTATAAGACCACTATTGTAAGTCAAGAAAAGGTTTAAACACAGAAGAAAACATTCTTTGAGAGGGTGTGGAGGGAGGGAGAGGGGTATTCACTAACTAGAAAGTAGACAAGAATTATCTAGGTGGGGGACCTCGTACCACCAAGAAAGCAATGCTGGGAGCAGAGCGCATCCTTTGGACCTGAGGATCCTATGCTGAGATGCTCACAGACGAAGGGAAGACTGATGACAAGGACCTTCCTCCACAGCTAACAGAGAAAGCCTTCTCCTGGAGCTGACGCCCTGAACTTGGACCTGTAACCTACCAGACTGTGAAAGAATAAATTTCTCTTTGCTGAAGGCATTCACTTGTGGTATTTCTGTTACAGCAGCACTAGATGACCAAGACAGAATTTGGTACCGAGAGAGTGGGATGCTGCTCTAAAAGATAACCTAAAATGTGGAAGTGGTTTTGAGGCTGTAAATGGATAGAGGAGCAGCAGCGGCAGAGAATCATCAGCAGCAGAACCAGGGGACCAGCGCAAGATGATGCTGGAGCCGACCCACGGAGCAAGAGAGCTGAGTGCCCATGTGCCGGAGGCTTCCTGGTGACGTGGGGTGCCTCCGAGCATTTACCAGTGGAGCTAGGCTTGCTGACCCAAGGAGTGAGGGAGATGAGTGCCTGTGTGCAGGAGGCTTCCTGGCAGAGTGAGGTGCCTCCAGGCACTTACCCGTGGAGCTACAGAGCTTTGGAATGCTTGCCCTAGCAGAGCAGATGCGGGATTGAGGCCCAAGGAGCCAAGAGGCCAAGGAACAAGTAAACAGAGGCTGAAGAGACAAGGGACACAAGAAGCCAAGCTGCCTCACTCTCAAAAGGTATGGCCATGACCTCAGGGGTTTCAAAGGGTGGAGCCATGGCCTCTGGTGCTTCTAATGGTGGAGTCCCCACTCAGATGGAATGGGAGAATGGTGCACCTAAAGCCAAGGGAGCAGAGCTGCTGTCCCAGTGGGCCTGGAAGGCAGAGCTGACACCCAGGGGTGAGGGGCCTCCACTCAGAATCTGGAGAGTGTGGCTAGTACCTAGTCTGGAAGGCAGGGCCATTGTGTAAACCGTCTCAGAGAACAGAGGATTATTTTCAAAGCCTTGAGAGCTAATGTAATACGTTCCGCTGACTTGCTTGGTGCCTGTTATTCCTTCTTTTCCTTCAGTTTCTCCTATTTATAACGGAAATGCCTAGTTTGTGCCTGTTCTACCACTGTACCTTTGGAAGCAGATAACTTATATTCTAGATTTCACAGATGAAGAAGAATTTTTGGATTTTGGACTTGGAGTTAGACTTCTGCTATGATATGATGTGATGAATATGATTTGCATGTTCTAAGGATGTGATTTTTTGGGGGCCAAAGGGTAGAATGTCATGGACTGAATTATATCCTCCAAAAATTTGTACATCAATTTGGGTGGGCCATGATTTCCAGTATTGTGTGGTTGTCCTCTACTTTGTGATTGTAATTTTATGTTAAAGATGATTAGGGTGGGATTGGAACACCCTTACTAAGGTCACATCCTTGATTCAACATAAAGTGAGTTTCCCTGGGGTGTGGCCTGCACCACCTTTTACCTCTTATAAAAGATAAAATGAAAGGGAAGCAAGCAGAGAGTTGGGGACCTCATACCACCAAGAAAGCAATGCTGGGAGCAGAGTGCATCCTTTGGACTTGAGGTTCCTGTGCTGAGATGTTCCCAGACCAAGAGAAGACTGATGACAAGGACCTTCCTCCATGGCCGAAAGAGAAAGCCTTCTCCTGGAGCTGACGCCCTGAATTTGGACCTGTAACCTACTAGACTGTGAAAGAATAAATTTCTCTTTGTTGATGAAAAAACAAAAAAAGAAAGAATTATCTTAGCTGAAGGGAAGGACAGCACACACTACAGGGGAAGTCAGCACAACTGGACTAAACCAAAGCTAAGAAGTTTCCTGAGTACAACCAAACACTTCAAGG